CCTTAGTCTCCTGCCCTGGGGCTCTGACCCTCTCCTGTTGTGTCACCCCCCCAGGCAGTGACAGCTCCCTGGGCTCTGATGATTCTCTCTTGGCTTCTAAAGGTGAGACCCTGCCGTGGGGAGGGGTGGGCCGAGGGGAGGACTTGGTGGTGGGGAGTCTGTGGGACACTGTGAGCATGAAGTGGTCTTTGAGAATATCACCAGTTACAGCTACTGACCTGAATCTGCTCATGATGATTGTCCTCCACAGCGTGATGCAGCTGCCTTGTGGGACTGAGTGATGGAAGATGTGCTCACGCTCCCACCTCCTGACTCAGGAACCTCTGATTGGAAGGCTGGCCCGCCCTGCTCCCCACACTTTCCTGTCAGCAGAGATGGCTGGGCCCTCCCATCCCTGTGTTTACTTTCTGATCTGAGCTGCACCTTTCTGCTCCAGTATTGAAAGGAGTCTCTGGATGTGACTGTGTTTATTCATTTCTTGCCAAGAAGGGTTGGGTTGTTAATTAAAGGGGAAAACCCTAAATTCTGAGAGGAAATAAATTGAAGCATCAAGCGCTTTCCAGAACCGTGTATTTTCTGTGGTTGTCGCAGGTGGGACCGGCGGGGCTGTGAGGACGGAGCGTGGTTGGGTCCTGTGCCTGGTCAGTGCTCAGTGCATCGTGGGCTTTGACGTGGTCACTCCTCTGCTGGGTCACTTCTCTGCTCCTATGACCTTGTCCCACCAGAACCTGTGGTCACAGGGACACACATCCCTCAGGCCTTGTCACGTGTCCTAATACAGCGCATCTCCCGGACCCTGGACAACGAGGCCTTCCTGGGGCAGGTCAGCCTGGGCTCAGGCCTGGGTCCCACCCTCTGCCCTCATCTCCTGGGTGTTTGTTGTTTTTTGCTTTTGTAGATATTATGCCTGTTATTGTGTTTGTGTGTGAGTTCTGGTCTCATTGTCTGGGTGTCCCCCGTCTTATAGCAACAGGAGTCACTTTGCCTGTCATTGTTCTCAGGGCCCCAGGGTCCCTGCACACAGGAGCCCGCAGTGTGGAGAGATGGGTGTTCAGGCTCCTCCTGCTCTTGCCTCCTTCTGGGCCTGATTGTTCTTCGTCTTTCCCTGAACTCTCCGAGGATTTAGCAGGAGCAGGATTCCTCCTCTGGGATTAGATCCTGCTGGGACTGTGCTCTGCCCGCCGCCCTCTCTCCCGTCCTTCCCTCTAGTGCTGACCCCAGCGGGACCCGGATGTGAGGAGGGAGGCTGCTGGAGGTTTAGGGGAGCAGCGCTGTGGGCAGTGCAGGTGCAGTGATGGCCCAGGGGGCACCCTGAGCTACAGCTGCCCCAGGACAGCTGTGCTGGGGCCACAGCCATGAGGACACTGTGTGTGGAACAGGGACGGGTTCTCTGATGGTGACCCCTCAGCCAGGACTTTGTGACAGTGTGACAACTGTCCCCTCTGGAACGCACAGGGACCTTGGAGGTACTTCAGTCCAGGTCCTGACCCCACAGTAATTCCAACATCGACATAAACCAAGGCTCAGATGCTTTGGCTTCTTCCTGTACATAAACGTTATGCTTACACTGTACTGGCATGTACTCAGTGTCCAATAGTTTCATTTCTGAACAATAACGCATACACCTTAGGTAACATGTACTTCATTGTGGAAAATGCTCACTGTCGCCTGTGTCACAATCTACCTGCTGGTGGAAAGCCTCACCTTCCATTGAAAAGCCCACAAGGTCTGTGACGCACAGGAAGTGAGGCGGCTCCACCTCAGGGAGCTGAGAGCAGGCCACGCTGCAGGCCTCACAGAGCGTATGTTCTATTGCAAAGAGAAGCTGCATCCTTTCCCCAGAGCCAGTGAGGCGTCTGTGCTAGAATGTGGTGAGTGCTGTGGGGGAGGGATCCACTGTGCGTGTGTGGGGGAGGGAAGATGGCTTTTTTTGTTTGTTGGTCCTCACCCAGGATATTTTTCCATTGGTCAGGGCACATGCCTGGGTTGCAGGCTCGATCCCCAGTGTGGGGCCTGCAGGAGTCAGCCAATCAATAATTCACTCACATCATTGATGTTTCTATCTTCCTCTTTCTTCCTCTCTCTCAAATCAATAAAAATACATTTTTTAAAAATAAAAGGGCCATGCCCTAACCGGTTTCGCTCAGTGGATAGAGCATTTGCCTGCGGACCGAAGGGTCCCCGGTTCGATTCCAGTCAAGGGCATGTACCTGGGTTTTGGGCACATCCCCAGGAGGGGGTTTGGGCCCCACTGTAGTCACTGTGTAATGAGCGCCACCTACTGTGTGTCACCAAAACATAATACATCTACACAACTAGATGTAGTATTTTGTATAATTGGATTTCCTAATACTGATATTTGTCATCCCCACAGAAAGTGTAGTGGGTTTTTTTTTTAAAAAAAAGAAAGTGTATTGGAAAATAAAGTCAAATGGAAAATTCAAAAGTAAAAAAGGTGATACCTTGGACCTGGCCGGGTTGGCTCAGTGGACAGAGCATTGGCCTGCTGACCGAAGGGGCCCTGGTTTGAATCCTGTCAAGAGCAGGAACCTCGGTTGCAGGCTCCTCCCCAGCCCAGGCCCTGGTCAGGGCTCCTGCAGGAGGCAACCAATGGGTGTGTATCTCTCACATAGATGCTTCTCTCTGTCTTTCCCTTTCTCCTCTACTCTCTCTAATAATCTATGGGAAAATATCCTCAGGTGCGGATTAACAACAACAGCAATAACATAATAACAATAATAATAATAATTACAACAGAAATGGGGTGGAGAAGAAAATGTTCCTACATCGCAGTTTTGGGTGGTGCTGCACTCAGGGGGATGGGGAGGGGGTGCCGGGAGGGGATGGGACCCTCAGAGGGAACCAGGGCTTCTGGGGGCTCCTCTTCTCCAAATGAAGGACATTTGCAGAGGGGGGGGGGGAGAGGGGGCGCTGCCAAGCCTTCCCCTGGAGAGAAGGGAAGGGAAGGGAAGGGAAGGGGAGCTGTCGGGCCGCTGGACGCTGAGTGTGGGGACCTGTAGGAGGAAGGTCAGGCTGGAGGAACAGGTGAGAGGGGGCGGCAGACAGGACAGTCACAGCCTGGAGTGGACGAGGCCCCAGGGAGCAGGGGCTGCAGGAGGGACAGGAAGGAGGAGTGAGCAAGGAGCCCGGGCCAGGCAGGCTCCTCAGACCACACCCCCGGCGCCCAGGTCGGGTTCCGGCTCGGAGATCAGCTAGTGGGGCCTGTGCGCGGGTGGGGCCTGGAGGAGGCGCTGAGCCGCAGGGGCTGCAGCGCTAGTGACCGGCTGGTGCTGATGTTGCCGGTCTTCAGGTCACACCGTTCGGTAGCGAGAGCCTAGACCAGGTGCCCGCAGGCCTGCATCAGCCTCCCCGGAGGGCTTGGTTAAAGGGGGTACCTGGAGGCTGAGCCCACCCACTCTGGCATGTGGGGGCACGCACGTGGCTCCCCGCCCGCCGCCCGCTGTCCTGCGTGGGTTCTCTGGTTAGTCCACGGCCTCCTTAGCCGCCGCCCTAGTCCCCAAGATTGGGACATGGGACCTGCGTCGTGGGCGCAGAGAGGCGGGAGTGGGAGCGGCTCCCGAGCGCCGTCCATCTGAGAAGGTCCAGGCCCTTTGCAGAGCTTCTGCCACAGGCCGCGAGCGTGTCCTGCAACGCCTTTGTCAGCAAGGGCTGCCATCTGGGGGAATCGGTGCTGGTGGTGATGGCGCGGGTGGCAAGACCTGCTGGCTCATCGCTCTTACAAGGACCCGTTCCCAGGGGTGCAGGGACCTCCGGTGCATGGGGACAAGGGGGCAGACAAGGAAGGGGGCGGAGAGCAGGCCGAGTGGGCTTTGGGGGGCACAGCTGGGCAAGAGGAGGATGGTGGCTGGAGGCCCCTCTCCTGCCCGGACACGGATGTTCTCCGGATGTGTCTCTCCACTGACAGCCCTGAGGGTTTAGAAAACATCCCAAAGGAATGGCCTCCGCAGGTCAAGCGTTTCTGTTTCCAATGGGCCCATCGTCCTGGCTGGGAGCGAGGAGGATCTTGGGAAGGATGAGCCCACAGGGGGAGCCGCCAAGATGCAGCAGGAGCGGTGAAAGCGGAAGAAGGGGAGAGATGGCCACAGGACTGGCGCTTAGGGGACACGGAGAGCTCAGCAAAGACCGAAGATGGAGGGAGGGAGGTTTGGAAATGGCCATGGGAACTGCTCTGCAAGCCAGACGCCGGAAGAAGAAATCGGGGTGCCTGTGTGGAGAGCCTGCTGGGAGCAGTTTGGAAGCGATGTTTATTAATCTTCGTGTATGACTCCGGGCCTTGTTCCTTTATCTGTAATTTACCTGAGATTAGAAATCGGAAGTCACCTTGCTACCAGTGTTTAGGAGCCAACAATGATTATGAAGGAGCCAGCCCAATGGCCCACCGGGTCTCCTGCCACCGCTCTCCCAGCCTCCTCTGCGCTCCCACCTGACAGGCCAGGCGCGGATTCAAGCAATTCCTTCCCTTCCTGCTTCTTTCTAGAAGGAGAAATGGTAGCTTTTGTGAGTGAGGCTGTAACTACTTCATCACTCACGTGCTTGCCTGGCCTCTGTCAGCTGCCAGGGACTCTGGGAGCTGCCCCTTCAGGGCTGGACTCCTGAGCAGGTTTCCTGGTCGGGCCTCTGGAGGGGGCATCCAGTTTCCCAACGTGCTCAGCAGAGAGGCCCAGGGCCTGCAGCTGTGGCCGTCACAGTTCTGTGCTTCATGGTAGTTACCATATA